AATAAGTCATGGACATCGTTAGGCTTTCGTGAGGCTTTGATTTTGATGTTTCCCCCTTGCAACGCGTTGGCGGTGGCCGGCTTGACTTTCTTCGCAAGTGAAATGAATAAACAAATAAATGCGGTCCCTGCAATGTAATTGTGAAGGCGACCTTGTCCAGTCACAACACAGTATCCTGATTAATATTGTGTTCGTGCAGTAAGAATGAAGTTCCGCGTTATGATATGTGACTTATTTCCAGCTCTGTGAAAAATGCGTCTATGCCCACCTCCCTGCCACGGACACACTCAGAGGTGCGAACATGTTAAACTCCCTGCATTGCATCTCCATCATCAGTTAGCGCCCGATAGCAAAAGCCGTTAGGGAGATGAGTGACGAGCAGGCGGGGTAGCTAGGCGCCCGCGTGACAATCGGCCTTTGCGGCCTCCACATTGACACACAAGCGGGCCCGGCGCATTTCCAGCATGCTAACATGTGAGCTGTCAAATGGAGTTAGCGGCAGTTGATGTGGAAGCCGTGACCGTTCATTTGCCATTAACTGGACCTCATTTGCAAATAAGTGCCACGAGCCATTCCGGTGCGCCACCACATGGCGCTTTTTATATTGTACTCACCTACATTTGAGTTGAAACGCAGATGCAGAGAGCAGCATTTCACACCTCAGACTCGATAAACTCATTCATTCATTAATTTTCAGATCCGCTTTATCATCATAAGGGTCGCGGCGTGTGCGAGAGCCTATCCCAGCTGTCTTCGGGCAGTAGGCGGGGGACACCCTGAACCGGTTGCCAGCCAATCGCAGGGCACACAGAGACAAACAACCATCCGCGCTCACACTCACACCTAGGGACAATTTAGAGTGTTCAATCAGACTGCCATGCATGTTTTTGGAATGTGGGAGGAAACCGGACTACCCGGAGAAAACCCACGCAGGCCCGGGGAGAACATGCAAACTCCACCCAGGGAGGCCGAAGCTGGGATTGAACCCGGTACCTCTGCACTGTGAGGTCGACGCGCTAACCACTGGATCACTGGGCCGCCCTCAATTTACTCCGTTTTTGTTTGATACCGTCAAATGACGCAGCATTATTGCTAGAAATCTGAAACCGAGATACCCCGCATTTACAATACCGTTACATCCCGACTCAAATCAGTGAGAGAGGGGAGGCAACCAAGTAAAACAACTCACGAATATGGAGGAGGGGTCACTGTTCTTACATTTCTTGGGTAAATTTTTTATGCTAAGACGATTAGCATTTCGTGTTAACACCGGCGAAAAGCTCCACAAGGAATAAGGGACTCCCCGTGAATGTGAACCCGTTTATGTTTAGCAAACACTTAAGCGGCCCACACCTGCGGTTCTCGGCATAATACCAGCAGAGGCCCCTTGACTCGTCCAAGACAATTAGCGCTCTCCCACGGATCAACAGTTGGCGGCGTCGGGAGCAGAGGGCCCTCCCGCTGCGGGCGGGCACGTGAGAAAGCACTTCTGATTTCTATTAAGTGCTGGAGATTAAAAAGCCGTCTCGTAGGTCGGGTCGGGCCGGTGTTCATTTGAATGCATTAGCGGGGTCCGAGGCAAGATAATTCTCTCATTAGCACCACTCAAACCCTGAGTGACAACACGGGTGAGAAGGGGAGCATGTCGTACAACACTTAGAGTTAATTAGGCCGCCACTTCTCGGCTACTCGCGCCGCCGCTGCCGCATTCCCCGACTTGGACAACGGACAGCGTGGCTCCGGCTACAATAATCCAGTCATTCCCCGCAAATTCACTTATTTGACTTTTCTTTTTTTTGCTTCCGTGGGACCTATCCCCACTTAAGAAAAAAAACTATTACCTAATCCTGGTGTTTATGTTCTGTCTGAAACACACTACTCTGCTACAAGATGTCACCAAAGGCCTGCCTTTTAGAAAAGTAGTCCATTGAGGTAGTTGTGAACATTTTTTAGGTGGGGGTCAATGATGTAACAAAAGGTATCCTGGCTAGCTCGCTAATATACAATACAATTCAATACCTATGAAGGGGCTAGTGCCGGGAATCGTGAAAAATGAGTCATTGCTGCCCGCACCTAAAATTGGTCAGAACTGCCAAAACCTGCGTGTGTACATGCACATGTGTCACAGAATCTCCATAACGTCTGCTTACAACCCAGGCTAAAGTGAGCCCTTCTCCAACATATAAAGCGTGTCGCTCATTTGAGATGTATCAGTTCAACATCCAGTGGTACCTCTTCTTACGAACGTCGCTTCATACGAAATTTAGTTCTTTGTTTTTTTTACATTATGCACAACTCTCATTTATTGCGCAATAATCGAATTGTAACATGTATTTGTTCCATATTTTGATGCATTTTTATGCTTTAGAAAACATTTATATCTGAATTTTGGAGGGGGAACGAGGGGCTTGGAACGAATTGGGGCATTTACATGGAAAATGCGTCTCTGCTTGCAAAATTTTCTCGTTAAGAAATTTCTTCCAGAACCAATGAATTGTGAAAGTAGAGATACCACTATCCCTCCTTTTCACTCATTCCTACATTGCTTCGTGCATTTTTAAAACGGGTTTTTGAAGCTGTTATTTTCCAACCCAAATGGTGGCTGGACAAAAACACAATTGAACAAGAATGACAAGCTCCCTATAACGAGTCTGCCACATATCTGCCTCTGTTCTTGACATTATCACAAAAGATAAGACGTCGCTCCCGAGCTTGTTTCCCGAGGAGATTTGAAGCAGATGATTTTTATTATTTTTTTTCTCGAACCAACATTGTGTGTGAATATTGGGAGCAAGAGGTTATGCACACGTCATTAGTCGCTCCGATTCCGCCCTGATAACTACAAAAATCGCAGTTTCTATTCTTATGAAGGTCCTATAAATTGTCTCTTTTCCCTTTTTCGGGCTCCTGTTCGCTTACGCTTCCCTTGTCATTGTTCCCACCAGACTGCGCTCGGCTCATTTGCCCACACACACACACACACACACACACACACACACACACACACACACACACACACACACACACACAGGTAGTGGTGGGGGATGTGCATACTACTTGAATACAAATTCCTGCACCTCCCTCGGCCAAGCTTGAATATTCTAGGGGGCTTTCAATTTTTCAGGCAGGTCTGCGAACCCCCCCCCCCAACCCCCTTCCTTTCCCTCCTCAGTGGTGCCATCACACTGAAGAATCAAAAGGAAACAATTTGAGTTGTCTTTCTGTTCGGCGTAGCTCTGTCATAAATTCCGCTTCCTGTCTTCCAGGCAGAAGCCCACTTATACCCTCCCAACCCACCCACTCTGTCTGTAAGCGTTTTTCATAACTCTGATGTCACGCTTGCGACATCCAAACACAGCTCGGAAGACTTGGAAAAGGAGAGCAAACATTTGCGTGTTCTTTTTGCGCTGGCGTGAATTCTCTGTGAAAGTAGGTCAACGGGATTGTCAAAGTTTTCTTTCTCTCTTGCCTCCACTCAATAGCAAATGAGCAATTGGATTGAGATTTGGGGAAGGGAGTGGCCGCCGTTTCCTCATCTTGAAATGGAACCAACAATCTAATTAGAGATTCCTCATGGGAACGTGAAAATTAGGCTAATCGGTAAATAGAAAAAGGTTTTTGCCACCAGTTGGCACGTGGTGGAGCGAGAGAAAAAAAAATGGGAATTTTGAGTTCACAATTCCCCGCTAAATTATTAAACTCATTTAGAATAACTCAATAAATCCTGAAATATTTCCTCATGCTTGTCCAATACAAATGGCCCTGCCTTCGTAATTTGCCGGAATGTTCCTTGGGGTAAATCTCCGCCCGCAGTGGATGTGATTGAATGTTACAATTAAACGTACTAATTCATTGTCAAAAAGCAACTTATCTACTCGCGTGATATATCTGGCGCTTAATTGGAAAGCACATTTAGAAATGCTTTCCTCTTTGACTCTAATCACAACGAATTGGCTCCAAGTCATGAAATGAAGTGCGATATTTTGAAGTTTGGCTGCAGGAGTGAATGATTTCGCCGCTAATTGATATTTCCCGACGAGTGCCAGTCGTTCAAGCGCCACGATGGCGAGACAAGTGGACGCGTGTTTACGAAAGGAACAATCCTCCTCCTCCTCAGACTCCAACAGGGCCTCGGATATTCAAATGCGCGCTTTCACTTTGGAGCCCGCAGGAGCCCCGCAAAGAAGTTGGATTATTCAAGGCTCCACAATAGCGCTCCGTTCATCATAAGACAAAGGAGAATCTCACTGGCTTTGACGTAGATGGAGAGGGGCCACGGGGGTGTGATTATTCACACGTGTGCCAGGGAAAAAAAAAAAAAAAAGAACGCGCAGCCAAATGGGTGGCACCGTGCGACTTGCTTATGAATGCAAATAAAGTCTCTCTGAGGCGAATATAAATGACATTTTCTACCGAGTGGGAGCATGAATATTAACTGTTGTACACCTATGATGCATCGCGCTACTTACTGCGACACTGACGTGGTGCGGTCCGTGAAAGGCCACACGTGACTGAAAAACAGCAGTGCTCTGAGTTAGCCCCTTTCGAATGATTTGCAATAAGAAGCACACTGGATGAATTGACTGTCCTGAATTTTAAAAACAACTAAAGTTGAAGCCAATGTAACGTTTTGTGCGATTTGAAGATCAAGCGATGTTTTTTTTTTCCCCTGCATGCCATTTGAGTGGTGATTCCCAAAGTGTTCTACATGGGCTCCCTCTAGTGGTAAGTGAGAGAAACCAAGTCAGGTTCAGTTCTATTTAACTTTTTGTACAGCACATTTGCATTTAATTTTCAATAACCGTTTGCTTTTCAACTGTAAAATTTTAATCAAAGTTACGCTAGGTACGAATCATTAAGTACAGTTTCTTTTCCTGCAGTATTCTATTAGATAGTATTTGGTGGGGGAAAAGCTTTAGAAACACTGCACTAAAGAATCAATGCTCTGAATTTTTGACAGGTGTGAGTGTGAATGTGATTTGTTGTTTGGCGTAAATGTAGCCTTCAAGTGACAGGTTAAAAAAAAATGGATGGACGGAAGAATATGACCTCATTTGTAGTGCTCAGCTTTGTATTTTGAGATGATCTGCGCATACTCCAACCCGGAGCGGTATATCGTTCGCCTCCTCTCGGCGTCAGAAAAGTCCACGTGGAACAACCCGAAGCGAAGATCGAATCCGTCGGCCCACTCGAAGTTGTCTAGAAGCGACCAGGCAAAGTATCCGCGGACGTTGACCCCATCTTCTCTGACAGCTGATCGGGAGAGAGACGGACGGGGTAAGCTTCTGTGCGCTGACACCAAAACGTCATTCATGGTACCTTTTTCCACTTCCTGGATAGTTTCCCTGTAAAACTCGCCACGCTGAGCATCCTCCATCACCAACGGCCCTGCCTGACAGAAGCCATTTTCTGTGATGTAGACCACTGGGTCACCAAATGTGTCCTGGAAAGCGAAGGACAAATGAATGGTGAAGAAACTCAAACACAAAGTTGATTTCATTTCACCTTCATTTAAGGTTGGGCAGTCATCAATTAATCTTTTTTTTTTTTCTGATGGTCGCAGGTTTCCATAGTTCAACGCGCAATAATGAAGACATGGTGGCAAACAGGCAACCTAATCTCGCCGCAGTCTCATTAGTGATTTGGAATTGGTTTGGCTTTGCAGCACGAGATGAGGGGGGGGGGGGAAACTTCTCACATGATAGCCTAGTAATACTGTACCCTATCTATCTCTCTATCCTCTCTACAGGATTATTTTCTTTCCAAAATTATGTTTATGAAAAGTAGGTAACTTACTTGACAAGCACAGTGAATGCCCCTCCGGGAATAGCAAAAAAAATAAAATAAAAAATATCCACAAATAACGCCCAAACAGAAATGTTTGTACAATAATTGCTTATAGCTGCCACGAGATGTCAAAAAAGTACATTTTTTCAAGAAGACCAAGCCATGGCCAGACTAAATGAGGCTCCTCCTCTGTGTTTAACAAGATATGGAACAAGATACCACAAGATGGCGCCAAAGCAATAATATGATGGGGAAGAAAATCTGATTTTATGATCGGGCCATATCGCCCAGTCCTACCTTGATGTAGTTGAGGAGCTTCCGCAAGCCACACGGCACCACAGCCAACCAGGGCGTGCCACAAATGCTCCAACTGGGATCCAAAATGTCCTCCGTGTCCCGGTCGCACTTTATGCACATCCGCCGCTCGCCGACGCATCCGTGTTTGACCTTCCGGGATGTGTAATAGTTCAAGGCAAAGAAGTCTGCCGTGCCTAACGCGGACGGCTCATCCTCGGAGAAGGCGGGAAGTCGCGGGTCGCCGTTGTAGTCCATCTTCCTGCTTTGAGCATCGATGGCCACCCTCATCACGTCCGGGTAATCCCCGGTGACGAAGAGGGGCCATGCGAACCATCCTAAATTGAACGCCAGGGCACGATCGGAAGCGGCGACATCTGAGGCGTTCTCGGGACACAACGGCTCGAACCAGTCGCTGCAGAGGGCCAGGGACACCGCACCACCCTACGGGAAGCCCTTTCAACATGAGTTATGCCAATAACTACGGAGGGCGGTGTATATGAAGTCAATTTTTAAAGATAAAAGTGACAGTAGTTGAACGCAAATTTGAAAGGAAACTTTCCTTGGACAATTTGATTTTTACAGTCAACACATTCCTAAAACTGAGCAGGGAGCAAACCGTAGTAAAAAGCAGCGTTGAGAACTGTGAAGTATTGACATTTTGGTGTCATTGTGGGTTTTTTTTTAGATAGGATTTGAATGAATGGGCCATCGATCGCATTATGCAAAATGCTATTGCGTTGCCCATTGGTGACCATTGATCACTCTGCGTGGCTATTAGACAGCAAATGTTAATGAGCGCATGAGATAGAAGTGTGCCATGCAATAGTGCACAAAAAAAAAAGGCAACCGCAAATGAAGCTCAGCGAAACATTGCTTTTGACTTCAACTTCTCGTATTATGAGGGCGTTGAGCAAGATTTTGTATATACGTGTTTTTTTTTTTTGTTGTTTTTTTTTAATGAAACCCTGCACTGCAAGGGTGCATAATTTTGAACTAAAAAGGACTGTCTGAGTCATTAAACTCCGGGGCTGATTTTCAGGCCCAGTCCCCTGCCAGTGAAGTTAGAAAAATTAGTGTACACTTCTTCTACTCATGCACGGGCCTCAAGGTGCACATCAAGAATCTTGCTCAAATGCTCCAACAGTTTTCGTCATACGCACCTGCTTTGGCCTGTAGAGCGAGTTGTAGCTGTGCCAAGCCATGACGTGGGCACGTAACATGTTGTGAGCCACCACGTAGGCCGTAGTTCCCGCTTCTTTCAGGCCCGGCGCGTGGACGCCGTCCTCATGGCCGAGCTTGGCGCACACGTACGGCTCGTTGAGGGTGAGCCAGAGTTTGACACGGTCCCCGAACGTTTGGAAACAAAAGCGAGCGTAGCCGTCAAAGAGGGCGGCGATGGCCGACGCTTTCCAGCCTCCGCGCTCCTGGAGTGCCTGAGGCAGGTCGAAGTGGTAGAGGGTGACCATAGGGGACATGTCACATGAGAGTAAGTCATCTATCACCTTGTTGTAGTACTGGACACCTGCAGAAAAACCACATGACTACGAGTACAACTTCAGCCTGATTGATTCATTTGAACCCAGAATAATCATAATCAGCGGGACATTTAAATGCCAATACTGTAATTTTAATTTGTTATGAAATAGTAAATGCTGTTCAATGTCAGAGCCACAATCGGCATCTGCCTCCCAAAAAAATTGTGTTCTGAAGGTCAAGCCCTTCTTGGGCCTTGGCTGATCTGGGATTTATTTTATTTTTTCCTTTTTGTACCTTTTTGATTGACATTTCTTGTGGTCCCATCAGGAAGGAGGCGGGCCCAGGAGAGAGAAAAGCGGTAGTGCGTCAGTCCAAGTTGCTGGATACATTTCAGGTCTTTTTCCCACAATTCATAGCTGTTGCAGGTCACATCACCCGTCTGCGCCCCGCACACGCGACCTTCCTCATGACAAAATGTGTCCCAGATGCTTGGACCCTTGCCGTCCGCCTGCCAACCCCCTAAAATTAAAAAATAACATCCATTGATTAATTGTTGGTTTGTTTGTTTGTTTGTTTTACATATATTGTTGTTTTTTGGGGGGGTATCCTTTCATTTGTTGTTTATAAATGTTTCTGTTTTGTTGAATGTGTATTGCATTAATTGTGAAAACTGGTGACCCATTAAAAAGTGGTTGTTTGATATTTCCATGAATAGATAATCTGTCTGTTTGTTTGTAGCAAATTGAGATTTTTTTTTTAATAACCCCCCGCCCCCTTCCCCATTAAAAGTCAATGATTGGTTGTGACTGCGGAATGGAGTTTGCGTCCCTACCTTCAATTTGATATGCTGCAGTCGCGGCTCCCCATGCAAAGTTACGTGGAAACATGTTTTTGCAGGTCGGTGAAAGACTGTAGTGGCTCGAATGCTTCTTAGTGACTACAATTAGCTGTAGTTGTATTACCTTTGCGTAAAAAGCTACAGTCGGAGCCAATTCGAGAAGCGAACAACCCGGAAGTGTTTCCAGCGTGCCTTTTGAACGCAGAAATTCCTAAAAATCACTATTTATTTCTTCTCCTTTTAGCGCCATGTATGGCATAGTGGTAGAAGTGTAACGTGACATCAGCTGCAAAGTACTCTAATCATTGTAAAGATCTGGGGGAATTTTGTTGATTATCTAATTTCTCCCCACGTATTTTACGAGTGTCTGCGAAAGCAGCATATGGTGGGGGCGTTTTCTTCCGTGATGACGTTCTGTGACATTTGCATACGATAAAAAAAGACGGAATTACTAAGTTGTTGTTAAAACGGGATATAATGCTTATTTATATGTTTGGCTATTGACACGGCCTCTTTTTAAAAAAAAAAGTAAAATGAAGTGTATCCTTGGGGATGGACTTTCTTTGTATTTACAGAGTTTTGCCACAAGATGACACTCAAGTCAAGGCAGTGAGAACTGGCTTAATATTCTGTCAACAGTGCCGAGTGTTGACATTTTTTATGTTTTAAATTACTGAAGATAATGCAGCTAGAATTAATTTTAACTAAAAATGAGTATGGTCGCTTAGTTATACTCGTTCTCGGTTCTTCTAATTGCACTGGACAGTGTTTCCCGTACATGTTTATTTTGTAGCACTATACCTGTATGGCGCTCAAGTAATCAATCCAATTTCATTTGTCAAATGGGATCATCGGCACCATACAAGTAAAAGCGCGATACCATTATAAATAACAATAAACAATAGTAGTAAGTGGGGCAATATTATGCATGTAATCGATCTATGTGAAACAAAGCACAGAAGCTTGTAGTTAATACAGTGGTAAGTAATGCAAGTGGGGTCAAGCAGGATACCAGAATAAGTCTATTGTGGCTCTGCTCTCAGGTTTCCACTGTCCCTGTGTGGCAGTTACTTCTGTGCTCCACTCCTGGGACAGCGGGTGACGTGACGCTTTCTGAGCGGGCTGCCTCGTCTCCCGAACCTTTGACATCAAGAAACACCTCCAAAAATGTTTGGCTCTCATGTACTACTGAGGCAGCGTTTTTAAAACTTAAAAAAAGTATATTTAAGATACTCTGGGCTTACGAAGTTCAAATATTAACACTGCGCTTACATTTGGGAAGGTAAAAAACCTGTTGACAATATGTCATGGCCATTTGCTTCATGGACAGTTTTCGGAGGGACTAAATGATGGCTCTTTCACTGGTCACTTGCACGTACCCACTTTGTAAATTGTGACCTTGCAACCACCCTGGGAATTAATTTCTTCCCTAATGATTTTGTCAACAAGGTGCAAAAAGTCCACCCTGGGAATGAGTTTCTTCCCTAATGATTTTGTCAACAAGGTGTAAAAAGTCTCTTGTGTTACACTGGACGCTGACCTGTAAGGAGAGCCGAGGCCTGTCGGCCAAGTCACGAGAGTGAGGCGAGGGAATAACTCCACGTAACCCGTCTCAGGTTTGCGGATTCGGAAATCTAATTGAGTCAAATGTTTACAGAAAACAGCTGCTTAAATAGGCACTTAGAAGGAATTAGAAAAACATTTTGGGGTTGGCAAGCCGGGCGGCAACACAGGCAATGTCTTTGTTTTGGGAGTGTTGGTTGAAGGCCCCCGGCCGGGGACAGATGGGAGCCAAGAACAATGTGGCTCGCTTGACTTTTTCTTGCGAGCGTTCTACCTGATCTCGGTGTCTTGTTTAGTATTGTGTGCACTATGCAAAAGAGCGCCGTGTGACCCTTTCTGCCTCTCTATTGGCTTGCATTGGGGCCCATGTGAGGCAGTGACGGACCAAAACCAACAAGTGGAGCTCCACCTACAGGTCAGATGCACTTAGTTAGGATTGTTTGGATACTGTCATCAGATAAGACACATCACAATATCCATATTTGATGTTTGGAGCCAACAATATATTTTCGTTTCAAATTCAGAAAGTCGTTTTTCGTGTTACTTGGCCTATTGAAGTTTTCCCTTTGGATTCAATGAATTCCGCTGTCTCGAATGGATAAAGTACACGAAAGCAGGGGGCCGACTTTTTTCTAATCGTGTCTCGATCGGCCCTGCGGTTGCCTTTCCAACATGCTGGAGCAGCACGTTGGAGTGCAAAAACAAACTAGCCGCTGTCCCATGAAGGGGCATGTAGCTGGCAAATTCCTGGCCCGCTCTTTGAACACATGTGACAAGCAGCACTTTTGACTCTCGGGCCACACGGGGCTGATCAAACAGCCCTGTTTGGGCTTGGCCTAAAGGAGAGACAACCAGGTCAGTCATATGGGGCGGGGTGGGGGGGGGGGCGCGTTGGGTTGGCTGACCTCTGAGGAAAAACGAGTAGCAAGGAAATCTTCACATGTGGCGGACATACTGCAGCCCTCGTGCTCACGTGTAAAGTCGTATGAAAACAAACAGACAAAAATTGTCCGAGATTAAGCATTTCCAGCGGCTAAAAATAAAGCGGCAACCCAGGAAAGTTCATTTTGAGCCCGTGATCCCGCTTGTAACATGAGGATGTGGCTGAGCTATGCGCTCGCCGCTCTCAATGTCAACTATTCATGATATTCACTGGCGCAGGGGGTCAAAGTTCAGGAGCACCTTATGAATTTGCCATGAACAAACCGGGCCTTTTAAGAAATATTTCCAGAATGAAACTCGGTCTTTAGGGGGTTTGTCTTCCTTTCTGGGGGGGCGGCGGTTAGTGGTGGTAGGGGTCATAAACATTTGCATTCCTGCGCTCGGCGTGTTAATGGAGATTAACCCGAATTCGAGCCCGCGTGTCAGCCAGCAATTCAGGTGGCTCATACCTCGCATACCTGCACTATTGTGAGCCTGCTCGCATTCTCTCGGAGCTCCGACGAGGACACCGCTTCGCCCTGTTCTTTCGGCGGCGCTTCCAAAAACAACAGCAAGATAGCCGAGACTTGATATTCCGACACTTTGTACTTCCCTTTCAGGAGTTGTCTGACCCACTCGCCATTTAGAATGCGAAAAATACGAGCCAATTATCTTATCTCAAGGCGCAGAAATGTTTTTAAGAGGGTCAATCTGACCACCTGCACGTGGGAGAGAGTGTTCATGTCATCGTCTGCATAAAAAGAAAAAAAAAACACACACATTTATCTTGGAATTCTGTCGAAAATGGCCACAACATTAGGCACAGCCAGGGACGAAGCTCGAAGCAGTGCGGGTTGTGTATGTGTGTTCTTGTTTATCATCAGTCAGGTTTTCATGAAATAAAATCACACCTACAGTATCCGGAACAATGCCCATCACACTCGTCATGCTGAGCTTAATTTACAGTATAAAGCAGCTTTCTTTGTCTTGTCTTTGCTCATCTCATAGTCTGCACTGATTTACAGCTGCTAGTTAACCAATCAAGCCAATAAGAGTGATCATCAGAGATGGTATGTTCTTTCCTTCAAGCAGATTATTTTTTTTCAAAGAAATTTGCATTCAGATTATTTTAAAGTTTATATTCAGATCAAGTATATATTCTTTATATAAAATAAATTGTGGAGGACTATCAATGGGTCTAAGAATACTGCATCCATGGAAAAATGAAAAAAAAAATTCCCTTGCTGTGGGGGTGGACAGAAAATGATACGGGGTGGACAGGGGTGCCCCTGGCCACCACGTAGCTCCACTCCTGGTTAGAGTGGTTGCCTTGCTTATTATTCTCTCCTCTTCTTCTTCTTCTCCTTTCGGCACGTCCCTATTCAGGGGTCGCCACAGCGCGTCAGTAATTT